ATGATAAGCTCATGTTTATGCTTGTTTCATTTCTGATTAGTTTCAAACTGACTAACCGTAGGTGGAATGTATGCTCATCTTCCCGCTTTAGTTGTAGGGCCAGTTGTAGGGCATACATGTGTCCAAGTTGAACCAGAAAATGATCTACCTGAAATTCAGAAGGAAGACACGCAGACCGCTTCCTACGCGATGAAGGTGGATGTGGAAGGTAAATTCATCACAATACACTTTCGTCTACCCAAATAGTGCGATAGCTTCTCATGTCTTGCTCACTCAAATGTTATTGCGTTATTCCGAACTAATTATTTGTCTATTGTTGCTGTTCTGTAGGTGGAATAACTGATCATCCAGTTCAGCCGAATGTTCCCGAAGTAGGTACTGTAAAAGAGGTCTCTATTCGCAGGCGGCAATCCACACGCCTTCGAATGCCTGCTGCATCGACCAGGACACCCTACACTAGGGGTAGGAGGCTAACCAGGAAAAAGTAGGGGAGACCGTTTTTGTACGTTTTGTGGAATATTACTTTGATGTTGGATAACCTGAAATGAATTGTCGTACTTTGGACATTTCCCTGGGTTATGGTAAACGGAACATTATTATTTATTGATGTAGTATGATCTTTTTGTTAGAGTGCAGGTAATGTCAATTTTTATAAACGGCACATTGATGTTCATTGATGCCATATTGATTAGTATGATCTTTAAATGGATGTAGTATTATATATTGCTTATAGTGCTTTCTAAAAATACGTATGCTACTGTTAATATTTGTATGATCGTCAGAGTTTATTTACGAGACAGTAACTATGTAGTAGAAAATGAGGGACTACGACCAATGCAAATTCACTCATAAATAACGAAAATAATGATATCGACACGAATAACATATTACGTAAAATGTCAATCGCGTCTACAAATGTCCCTAACGTAAAATGTAATTCGTGTCTACAAATGCAATGTTCATTAATTATTGCTTAAATTTGAATTATAAATTGAAGTTCTTCCACCGTACTCTTCCATCGCACCAATTGTCCTGCACATTTAAATTTGACATTGAACTAGGTGGTTGCCAACTTGAGTATCAGAAATGTTCCCACACCCAGCCCTTTATAAATAGTATGTCCACTTATCATACTTGAAATTCTCACATGCAAAATCAATTATTACACACTGAGTTTTTACCTGTGAAAATTCGAACATATGGCTTCGTCCACTGCGAGCAACGATCCCGAGCTATAGGACGACCAGACGCCGATGCTCGGCTCGGTTCCGGAGTTCCCCATCGTAATATCATCCGATGATGAGGAGGACGTGGACTACAATGGTTGGACGTAATTACATATGGAAGTGTTAAGTAGGTTGCGTGACATTGGTGTTAGTGCATGTGGTTCGGTTATGACTAAATCGTCCACAAGGAGTGCAACGCCGATGACCAGTAGGCCTAAAAGTGTAGGATTCGTGTCTGGCTCGCTTACGGCGTGTGGGTGGTCTACCTGCAGGACGACGTATCACTGGTGGCAAAATACGAGTAGCTGTAATGTCTGTCGGAACAACCCAGTTCTCTTCCCACGGGACATGATATATAGCGTCACTGTAGGCATCCCTCCAGTAGTCCACTGTGCAGTAAAGAGTACATAAATCGTACAATGACGTACCTCTAAGGCAAGTTGCACGAGTTGCGTGAACACAGGGCATACGATTTAGTTGGAATTCACGACATGTGCATGTGTTATCAGAAAAGTCTACAATGTCTTTGTCGTTGGATATTCCGACCTGTGTTAAGTGGGCGGCTGTCGGGGCATGAGCTCGAAGACGAGAACCATCGTCGAACGTTGATCGTAACTCGGTCTCCATGTTCAATGACAACACGGTACTGTATGCGGTTGCAGTAGTTCGCCGTTCGTAAAACCACTTCTGCATAGTGCTCCGAATGTGGTCAACCAAACTTGTGATCGGTAAGGAACATGCATGTCTTAACATTGCGTTTAGGGATTCCGCATTATTGTTTGTCATAATATTATATCGATGCCCAACAAATAGTACTCTGGACCAAAAATGAAAACATGCTCGCTCCACGTACGCGTAAGATCTTCCACTTACCATACGAATCTGTCCCATTAGTCATTCGAACTCTTCAACCCGATACGTGTTGCTGCACGTTTGAATATGAAAACTGAACTGACATTATTGTACCTCTGTATTAAGTTCTTTTCCATATGCCACATACAACAACCATGGTGAGAAGAAGGAAATAGCTAAGAAATTGCTTTTTCTATACTTTTTTCCTATCCGACACGAATACAAGTTCATCTGAATCACCTATAAGATCCCTCAAGTTGGACAGAAACCAAGACCACGATTTATTTGTTTCGGCATCCACAATCCCCCATGCTAAGGGGTAGATCTGTTTGTTTGCATCTTGGGCAGTTGCCAATAAAAGTGTACCTTTATATGGACATTTCAAGTAACTACCGTCTACACAAATCACGGGCCCAAGAACTGCAAGTAACCACGAATGCTTGCACCAAATGTTAGGAAGAAATAAGTAAACCTATTATGGCCATCGACTTGGATATGGGTTACTGTTCCGGGGTTAAGTTCTCCTAAGACGTGACAATACGAAGCAAGTTTATGAAAACTATCCCCCGGTTCACCATGCAGCTTGAGTAAAGTAGCCACCTTTCCCCTACATGCTTTACTGTAACTAATTTTGACTCCGAATTCATGTTCCATGTCACGAGAAATGGCTGCAGGCTTGTACTTCAGGTTTGCATTGCCTAGTTTTCCCAAAATGAGTTCGGCAATTACATCACTAGTGGTACGACTGTGTACATTACGACGAATGTCTACGGAACATGTGTGTTGATTGGTGAATTTACAGATCATAAAGAGTGCAGACTGCTTCACAGTCGAGGCACGTAGCATCCACTTGCAATTACTGTCGGCACATTTCACGGTTAACGTCTTCATGCTTGACCTACTCACCTTAAATTTGAACTTCTCTTGCAATGCGAGTACACGAATCTTCGAGTACAACTCATTCTCGCTACAGAATATTGCCCTTTCGGCAAGGTCCGATTTATTCACAGGTGAAATCCATTCATGTCTATCCGAAGTCATGGAGTGTGATACTGTTTCCTCGTCCATGTCATCAATATTAGCGGCATCATTACCATTTACCGGGTCGTCCAAGTTCACATCTAATTGTGCAACCTCAATATCAGAAAACGGCGCTTCGGGTGCAATTTTTGTTGAGAGATTATGCTGACGACTTATGTCCTCATTATGTATGTTTTGATGAACATCCCCTATGACAAACAAACGATTCGGCCAATTTGTATCTGTTTCCATGCCAAGACTTGGGGACTCGGCTTCTAAAACAGTAAGCAGATAGATGTTTCCTTATGAACCGATATGTACCAACTGAGGTCTTCGTCTTCGCGAATTTCAGCTAGAGGTATATTCAAGTTGGAGACTCTGAACTTCATTTCAATTTCACTGCGGGGATCAACAATACCGAGCTTTTCCTTCAATCGTAAAGTAAGTCCGGCTACCATAATATTTGTCTGCACTAAAATGGAAGTGGTTTTGTACCCTCTCCACTTCCATTCGTCATCCACATTTGCGAAATTTCCCCTGCAATAAACGATGAATCTCAAATCATCACTCATACCTGAAATGTTGGGATTACAACTGTAAGAAGTCTGCACAATCAAATAAATGTACATTGAATACCATCAAATGTGGAAAACTACTAATCAAGATTTTCAATAGTTCTCAAGTGTCGAAATCGACAGTTGAATTGTGTATCCCGACAGTTTGTAAACTGTCGAATTCGATAGTTTAACTGTCGGGGCCCGACGGTTTGAAACACTATATTCGACCAGTTAGTTAAAGTACGAAAAGACGGCTGCAGGCTTCAATATAGTTACTGTAGAAATTTTTACGAGGACATTAATGTAGAACATTAATGGTGATAATCAATTCTCATTCAACAACATAATGTCTTTTCAAAATAAATACATCAATGCTCCATTATGAGCTAAGAGATGAAATTACAAATAATTTGTAATAGCTAACCTCTTTAAATGGATGATCAATTAAATACTCATATGTTCTTGAAGAATGAATGAAGAAAATGAAGTTCTTGGAAGAAATTATGTGTTAATGAAGGAGGATGTAGGACTTAGGGTTTGAGAACATTATTAGGTTTTGAATTTCTTTTATGTATTTTTTGGAAGAAAATACGTTTTTTTTCACTAAATATACATATATAAAATGAATAAAATAATCAAAATGTAACCATCACATCAAACAATTAATGGTATTCCAATCAAGCATTAATTGCTCTTATAAAGGTCACATTAAGAGTAGTTTGGACATCTGACAACAAAAAAGTGACATTTTTGAACAAATTTAATGCACATGAAATTTTTTTGTGCATTTCCAAATTTAGTGACATTTATGAAAATCTCCCAAGAATCAATTACATACGATGGCATCAATCCTCTCTCTCTGTCTCTCTCCCTCTCTCTCTCTCTCAGCGGCATCAATCTTCTCTCTCTCCTCATTTTATTTTCTGCATATGGTTGGCCTGGTGCAAAAATGTTAAAACTAAAGGAAATAAAAGAATATTAGTATCTGTTTGGACCCATTTTAAAACTCATTTTCAACCACATTTCGTGAAACCAAAACTTTCATAATTTTTCAGCCATATATTTCATCAACTTTTATTAAAATCTACTAAAATTTTGATTTTTAACTAAACCGAGGCTAAATTCCATAGCAATAAGTGGATAGTGAACTACATGGAGTAAACTAAAAACTCAATACAATGATCAAAATTTTAACTTAATTTCCATTCATCTCTATTTCTGATTGTTGTACATCGGCTTTATTAGAAATAATATAAAAAGTTGTGTTACAAAACTCGCTAAATATTCCAAGGCATTCGGAATTTCTTTTTTTAGAAAAATTCACAAATCTAATTATAATTTTAAGCTATCTCGTCTTCCTCGTCTGCCTTTTCTTCTTTTTATACTGTTTGTAGAGGTTCAAAGACAAAGTTGTTCGGTCCAATTCACCCTTTAATCTCTGGTTCTCTGTAATATCATGAAGTAGCAAAAAATGCTCGGTAAGTTTCTTTCTAACCACATTCTCGTCAGATTGATCCTTCAAATTTATGTCCGGTCGAACTTTAACAGAAGAAAGTGTGTCAATTCCTCGCTTTCTTTTGCTTTTTGATATTTTTGAATCACCTGATGGAACAATTAAATCCTGCTCTACATATAATTCCTTAAAAGCTTGTTGAGGTGAGATGATGGAATGATAAACCTTATAATTTGTGGTGCCCATTGTTGAAATACCATAAGCCATAGTAGAAACCGTTGGATGATAATTGTTGACCCCAAAAAATGAGCTCAATAGAATCCCCGCCACGTCCCATCCACGTGGACATCACATGTACACCGAACACCCTGTTAGAAGGCAAATGCCGCCGGTCAAGAAAAAGGTCCGACAACCATTCGCACTCCGACGGTCAAGTCAACTGTCGGACGAGGAAAATATAAGTGCAAGAGAAAAAGAGGGGAAGATGATAGGGTTAGAGAACATACCTTAAAATGAAAATGAAATGGATTCACATATATATAGAAAATGGAAATGTAAATGGGCCATATGGTTTATGGGCCTTGCCCAAGCCCAAAACCAAGGCTCTGAGACTCTTAGCCGATGCTCTATATAAGTGGATGAGGCCCTTTAGCCAAGGCTCCTTGTAAGTGGATGAGGCCCTTCAGCCGAGGCTCCTTGTAAATGGATGAGGCCCTTCAGCTGAGGCTCTTTCTACGTGGATGAGGCCCTTCAGCCGAGGCTCCTTATAAGTGCATGAGACCCTTCAGCCAAAGCTCTTTATAAGTAGATGAGGTCCCTTCAACCGAGGCTCCTTGTAAGTGGATAATGTCATTCAACCAAGGCTCTTTATAATGATGACCTTCAATCCAAGGCTCCTTTAGATTGAAACTCATGATGTCCTTTTAGAAGACCCTTTAAGTCAATGCACGTCGGTAATGTGGGACCCTCCTTCAAGATAGTGCCACATAATTTACGGGAGTAACAATAGTCCTCCAAATCTAGGCATGATTATTTATATAATGCATGGACTTGAAAGTAAAATTGAGATAAAAATTTTGCGTGGGGGATGACCTTCAAGATAGTGCCTCTCTTTCTTTAAGTAAGTCCTTTTGCCTTACGATTTACAAAAATTTTGACATATCTTAAGTCCTTATGTGCCGAAGCTATCTACTTTTGATAAAGGGAGCTGAGGTCCCAATTTTTTGAAGTTCTTTAGCTTGTTTTATTTATAGTTTATAATTTTTACCTCCTTGTAAGGGGTGTACTCTTCTGTGCAAGGGCTTCCTCAATGGTGTTTGATCCAGTCATGGAAGGCTTCTTCCTTGACTTTCACCCTTGTCGAAGAAAGGCATGTGTTGGCGCACGCTTCCTCACATGGTGGATGGTTCATCCATGTGAAGGCTTATTCCTTGATAGGAAGGCATGTGCTGGGGCACGCTTCCTCACATGGTGGATGGTTCATCCATGTGATGTAGCATAGTTGTAGCAGAAGTAAAACTCTAAAAACTAAACAGCCATAATGTAGAGGCACGAAAAGCTCTCGAGAAGATAAAAGCAGTTGTGATGCAACATCTCATATGGTGAGGTATCTCGCAGGGCGAATTTCGAACTATTAGAGCCTTATAAGTAGCCTCAGAATGGCGAGGTCTTGTAACTAAGCTCTATAACAGTGAGAGGCAGGGAATAGACATTTCGTGAAGCCAGGGAAGACACCTTTTGGAAGGGCAAACACCTCCGACGACTTCGGGTTATTGCCCCTTCCTTTGTTCAAAGAACGCGATCTTATATTATCACCTCTTTCTTTTTCAAGGAACGAGGCCTTAAAATAATTGTCTCTTCCATTTTCAAGGAATGAGGTTTTATATTATCGTCTCTTTCTTTTTCAAGGAACGAGACCTTAAAATAATTGCCTCTTCCATTTTCAAGGAACGGTATCTTATATTATCGCCTCTTCCTTTTTTAAGGAATGAGGTCTTAGAATAATTGCCTCTTCCCTTTTCAAGAAACGAGGTCTTATATTATCGGCTCTTCTTTTTTCAAGGAATGATGTCTTATATTATCGCCTCTTCCTTATTCAAGGAACGAGGCCTTAGAATAATTGTCTCTTCCTTTTTTAAGGACCGATGTCTTATATTATTGTCTCTTTATTTTTCAAGGAATGAGGCCTTCGACTAGGGATAAGCATTTGGTGTGGAGGGAAATAAACATCCCGCGAATAGATCTCGAACTATCGAAGTCTTATAAACTGGCATCGGAATGAAGAGATCTTACAGTTAAGGCTCGACTATAGTGAGATGTGAGGAATAAACATCTCGTGAAGCCAGGAATAAGCATCTGGCGAAGCGGGTAATAAACATCCAGCGAATAGATCTCGAACTATCGGAGTCTTATAAACTGGCCTCGAAATGAAGAGGTCTTACAGTTAGGCTCGACGATAGTGAGAGACGAGGAATAAACATCTCGCGATTTTCCTCTTCCTTTTTCAAGGAACAAGGACTTCATGATATATCGCCTCTTACAATAAGAAACCCATGAGATTGGGTTAACCTCCGATAGTGCGAGGTCTTACAAGCTGGCCTTGAATGTGTAAGGTCTTAAAGCTTGCCTCAAATAATAAAGGTGATCATCAAAAAGGACTTTGAATAAGAGAAATCCGAGCTAAGCAATTTATCGAATACTTAGTGTGCATTGTAAAAATAATTTCTTTGACACAAATGAATTTTGTAGTCTATCCACGTAAGAATTAAAATGGAAAATTTCACATACTTTCACAACTTGTCATCGTGGATATTGTATTAATTCATGCACACCTTAGATGATACATCACTGAAAATTTAGAATGCAAATAGAAGAATTTTGTCACCTCTAACTCAAATTTTGCCATTACCTGTTCATTTGAACACGCCACTATCAGTCTGTCTCCATCAAGAATTAATGCCTACAGTGGAACACATTGGACCAAAGACGGACGATGGACTGACGTCACTGTGGTGTGGCCGGATTACCTTTAGCGGATTCCGATGACTTGCTGAAGGTTAAGTTATACATGGCTTTCTCAATGAAAACCAATGGAGACCACGAAACGTTGGGGCTGCCTCAACAGTGGGAGTTACTACATCGGTGATTGTGGTGGCTCCGACAGCGATTGGAGGTTATACCATTTTCTATTGACCAAAAATTTTAGCCAAACATTGAAGGTTCCTTGGTTGGTAGTGGGTGTTTTTCTTTTTCTAGTAGCTACTTTTTTCCTATGGTAAATGCTAAAATTTAGTCTTTGAAACACAAAGTAATGGTGGCTTCCTTATCCGTGAACTTGATGCCAGAATATGCTAGGAAAATTACTTTGGTTGCTCATCACCATCTACTCTGTTTTTCATTCCTATGGCTGGTTTTGTATTTCTTTTGATGTTGAGTTTGCTCCAAAGAATAGGCGGATATGGTCGAACACGGGGAGCACACAAAATATATTTCTTTTTTGGACAGACCCATAGGTGAATGTTTATTGAATAAATCCACCTTTTTTCTTTACTATTTTGATGACTAGTTTCTTCAGTCATTAATCGCCGGAAAATTCCTTTGTTCAAGGAGATTTTCAATACCCATTTTTCTTCTTTTTTAGCGGCTGACTTTGTGATCTTTGGGTAGAACTGCCCAGAAATTTCTTCAATTGCTGCCTTTGCTATTTTCCAGATGATAACTACATAGAAAACCATATTTTTCGGTAGAGAAACTGTTTGGAAAAACTATATTTTCCCGTTGACTTCTTGATTGTGGTATAACATGGTTAATGTACCGTTTTCTACAGACTGCGTCAATCTGTTGACCCCAAAAAATAAGCTCAACATAATCTCCGCCACGTCCCCTCCACGTGGACATCACCTGCACACTGAACACCCCGTTAGACGGCAAAGGCCGCCGGTCAAGAAAAATGTGCAGCGACCGTTCGCATTCCGACGATCAAGTCAACTGACGGACGAGGAAAATATATGTGTAATAGAGGANTCAAGTCAACTGCCGGACGAGGAAAACATAAGTACAGGAGGCAGGAAGGGGAATTTGGATAGGGTTAGAAATCATACCTAAAATGAAATGGATTCACATATATATAGAAAATGGAAATGTAAATGGACCATATAGTTTATAGGCCTTGCTCAAGCCCAAAATCGAGGCTCTGAGACTTTTAGCTGAGACTCTATATAAGTGGATGATGTCCTTCAGTTGAGGCTCCTTGTAAGTGGATGAGGCCTTCAGCCGAGACTTTTTATAAGTGGTTGAAGCCCTTCAGTCGGGGCTCTTTCTAGGTAGTTGAGGCCCTTCAGCCGAGGCTCCTTGTAAGTGGATGAGGTCCTTCAGCCGAGGCTCTTTATAAGTGGATGAGACCCCTTTAGTCGAGGCTCCTTGTATGTGGATAATGCCATTCAATCGAGGCTCTTTATAATGATGACCTTCAATCCAAGGCTCCTTTAAATTGAAGCTCATGATGTCTTTTTAAAAAACCCTTTAAGTCAATGCCACGTCGGCAATATGAAACCTTCCTTCAAGATAGTGCCATGTAATTTACGGGAATAGCAATAATATTTTGATAGAAGATTTAGCTCCCAAAGGATTGATGCAAGTGCACCACTAAGGTTCGGGTCTAAAGCATACGGCTGGTATTTCTGCGATCAAATAAATAACTGTGTCAACAAATTGAATTGAGAGTGCATATTTTTCTATTGGAAAAATGGTTTTTATTAGTTGGTTTGATCAATTTTTAACCAATTATTTTAGTGGGTTTCGTTAGTTGGACAAAATAAGTCTTTGGCCGAGTGTGTTCTACTCCATGAGTAGACTAATATTATGTATTTATTTTTCCCAAAACAAATTTAGGGTGAATGAGAAATTAAGGCCAAAAGATGACCGTTTGAAGTTGAAATAATTAGAATAAAAAATTGGTGGGAAATTGGAAAATGTCAATCCCACGTAGGAAAGTTAGAAGAGTATAAACCACTTTATATTGCTCATAATTTCCATATAACATATTGTTCCTTTTGATTATACACTTCTGAACTTGAATTTTATTGAAAAAATTCTGAATTCTGAATTCTGAATTCACTCAGCCCATTAAATTTTCCTACATAGATTTTTCCAATCTGTAAAATTCAGTTATATGTATGCAGAGAAACATAAACTTCATTATACTGCCCATCATAACTAGTCACAAATTGCAATTCAAAACTCTTCCC